AAGTCTGAGAAGTGTTTCAAGAAATGCATTGGCTGGTGAAGAACTCTCCCGCTCAGGGGCTTGAGAGGAAGAGAGAAGTTTACCCACAGGCAATCATAGATCCTAGAGCAATCCCTCTAACCAAAGCGTGGAGAGCCCACCAGAGAGCCACAGCTCCACAATGTGGACACTCATAGGCAGGCCTGGCAAGGCCACATCAACTTTGCAATAAGTATACACCCACCTATGCTGCCAGGCTGACATTTTAGCTTCCAGGTTAGCGGTTTAACTCTAGCTTTTTGTGTGGTTGCTCCATTTCTTGTAAAACTTCAGATTATAATATTATCTGGTACTCAGTGCAGGACAAATGCTGAAGCAGTGGTTCTGTCACAAGCAGGAGTTGGGGAAAATTGTAGGAAAGAAGCCCAGACCTATGGGCTTTTTCATGTAACTCTTTCTCAAAAGAGAGGAGCAGGTCAGTACGGCCTGTACAGAGGAAGGCGGTGATGTAGAGAATTAAGGTGTGAGAGGAGGAAAGAAGTAAATCACCATATCCAGGCAAAAAGAAAAACAAGAATCCAGATAAGGCTGAATGCCTCAAGTTTCATGGCACTGGGGCTGCAAGGAGTTCTAGTCAGCAGAGGCCAGTCAGAACCCCAGGGAGCAGGCACCGAGAGCTGACCAGCAAAAAGCACTAACATAGGCTTTGTATGGCACCATGAAACTCAGATTAAACCACTCCTACCTTCCTGGCATGTGCTGAGGTATGAAGCTATTTAGGAGGAAATCAACCTCAGTGAAAAGAGGTAAATCTGACACTGATTCTCTGCCTTTAATCTTTCCTTCATACATACCGCCCAGGTATCCCTCCCTTTCCTTTGGCTAACCAAACGCAGGAGCTTTCCTCTTCCCCTCTGGACTCCACTAATCCTGCTGTATTGTTTTCCCACCAGATGGACAAGGACACTGTCCTCCCACCCAGCTTTACCTCTCTCCGCATGCGGATACAGAAGGTGCAGCACTAGGAACAGGGAGAGAATGCGTGTGTCCACTGTGACAGAAGCTGTGGCTCTGGGGAACGTTCAAACTGTTACACTCATGTTACAAATGAATGCACCTACGCTTGCGGCTTCATTAGTGACTCTATTCCCAAATGAAAAGGCAAGAAAATGAATGCTTCCTGCAGGAACTGAAGACAAATGGGAAGCAACTTAAGAAAATCCCCAATACGGAAACAGATAACAAATCTTTTGAAGTTTTGCTTCTCTGCGGAAGTGAGTCCTTATATTCAAACAGGACTCAGTAGCCTTGTTTATAAATAAGACTAGTGAAATTATAGGGCCGAGGTAACTGACTGGGTGATTGGGTGACTGGGTGACTGGGTGACTGAGCACTGGAACGTTTTGCCCAGAGAGGTTGTGGAGTCTCCTTCCCTGGAGATATTCAAAAGCCGTCTGGACACAATGCTGGGCAACGTGCTCTAGGTTGAGCAGGGGGGTTGGACTAGATGATCTCCAGAGGTCCCTTCTAACCTCGGTCATCCTGTGATTCTGTGAATTGGTACCCAATATCTACTCTACCTGAAGTCCGCTGTAACGTTAAAGTCACTTCCTCCATATTCATTCCCATAAGCCTTTTAAAAATGTGTTTCTTTCTTTTAGAACCTACCAAAATGTAATATGCTATGCTGTCTTTTAAGGGCAGCTTGGTAGCTGATAACTTACAAGTGTTGTAGTGTACACAGAGAAGAGTAGCACTGTCTGTGCAAAACAAAGGCAGGGATCAGAGGATTTAATGTAGGTCCCATTCCAGTTAATGCCAAATTCTCTGTGAATGTAGGAAAAAAGTATGGAAAAGTGAGTCAGAAATGAAGAGAGATTTCCGAGTTGCAAACTGTGGCAGGGAGAACTGGTAATTGTTCTCAGAGCTCTGAGTTCTGTATTTAATTTTGTACCTAACTTGGCTGTGGGCTTGTGCTCATGGTTATTATCAATTATTTTTATACTCATTTCACTTGAGAACTCACCAGGCTAAGTACTAAACAAGTGTGAAAAAAAAAGAGAGTTACTGAACCTAGAAATTTGCATCTTAAGTAGTGTAGATAGGAGAAAATATGCAGACAAGGACAGATAGGGATGTATATAGGAATAGCAAGACCATATTGGTCACCTTAATGGGCAGTAGCCCTTAGCACGCAATTAATCTTGCATCAAAGATAAGTATGTCCACCTCACAAAATGTTCTGCACGGGCAACAGCCTTTCATATAATGGGTTTGTCTTTGCCAATGAGACAAAGGAACTGAAGGAACATACTGCATATTCTTTTAGCAGCCTCTCTCTCTGGCATGTAGGGCCAAGAATGCAAGATGTTCTGAACAAAAGGAATAGGCAATATTCTCACAATAGCGTGAGATTAACTGATGCTGCACTTCAGGTCTTTGACACTATGGGGACTGCTTGCTTTTCCTGTTCCCTCAGGATGACCTTTCCAGTTCAACAGTACACAGAAACAGTTCTGTCAGGTGTTAGACATTTGGAGAGGTTGTGACTCTCTTAAATTTGCTATGTGTCCTGACATTTTCTCCACCTGACCTCTACAGTCCAGGTGTATATTCTAAAGGGATGCCTGGATTTTCTAGAAAAGGAAAAGGCTAAGTTGTTTGAAAGTAGCCAGTAAATGCCAGTGCTTTGTACTGGATCTCTTTATTAGCTCTAGGGAATAGGAATGACTGAAATGAGTTTTTCTGAGCCCTTCTGCACTGGTGAAAAGTGCAGAATGAGGGATTACATTATATTATTAGTAGTATGATTAGTGTTATTAGTATTATTAGTATTCTGTGGGAGGAGAGGAACATGGATGCATCTCAGCAGGAGAGATCTGAATGCTTCGTGCTTCAGTGGCTTTATGTACAAGTATCCTGCTATATGCTCATTTTCACAAATTCACCTGCAAATTCACTCTCTCCCCTCCACATGCAATCACTGACACAATCTAATACCTCTGAAACATCCAGTGCTAAAACCATTAAACTGCAGGGGAGCTGAAATTCTTTCTAGGATGCAGAATATTAAGCATACCATCCCCACATATTTACTAGCTACCATTATCAAACATTTGCAATCTTCAGACATGAGGCTAATGTAGGCTTTTGATTTTCATATCGATCGTATCTCTGTTCCTTCAGGCTGCACCTAGCCTCCCCCAGCCATGCTAAAACTTTATTTCCTCCCAACTGTTTCTACCTGACCTGTAGGCTGTCATGCTCACTTGCTCAAGGAAATTATTCGATGTTTCCATACAGTCTGTAGCACCAGCAAGGAAGCTCAAGACTGTAAAATTCTGTTGACAGAAGCCATGTTTTTCTTGTACTCAGTGCATTGTAGAACAGAGTAGGGACCTATCACTGGAATTTCTAAAAACATCATCAGTAATCTGTGACAAATAGCAGGTCTTGGGCAATGTGCTCAATTCTGGAAAGGTTCTGGATATATATTTGTGGAGAGATGCTTGTCCCATTAGTGAAGACCGTAACTCCTTCCTGTGTTATGGGTTGGAAAGTAAGGACAGATTTTATAGAGAGCATAAACAGCAGCGGGAATGAGTATATACATGCATGAGAACACCTGCACAGGCCTTGCACACGTCCTCATGGTTGGTGGGTTTTACTCTGAGGTGTTACAGCTGCTGCACCTGCAGACATTGATCTGTGCACAGCGGCTGGGGAAATTTATTAGAAGCTGTAACCCCTCACTTGGAATCAAACTATAGATGCACACAGTGCAACACAGCGAGGCCATTCTGGTTCCTGTAGGCCCCACAGTTAACTCAAATCATCATCATCGTTACACACTTGTTAGGACAAAAAAAAAACACGACCAAGACCAGGAGGCAGATCTGTCAGTGCAGGGAAACCAGTGTATCTGTGATGGGTCAAGTCTCTTTAACCTTGGCCATGACTGGGAACTGTAGGCTGTGGACAGCACGCAACTGAGAGCAGCAGCTTACAAAGAGGCATGTGAGCTCCCGCCGGCATCTGTATAAAAAGAGGACTTCTCCATCAGTAGAGATAATGGGATTTAAGGTAAGAGTTAAGTGAGGTTTGTTGAATAGGGACCTCCTGAGCTAAGGAACAGAGTGAAGAAAAGCTCACATGGGGGGGG